AAAGTATATTCAAAAAATAAAAACTTTTTAGATAACATGTACCTACAATGGTGTTAAATAGCATATGAATACTAGTGTATGGTTACTATCTTTAATGGGGAGGGTGCGGGAAGAGGGAGTGAGGGTAGAAAGCTTAAACCTATGATGCAATCCTCCTCTAATAAAAGTCTAATATGCAAATTGGCTGAATGGCAGAACGACCTGTGGAACGACTGGTTGCTATGATGCGCACTGACCACCAGGGGGCAGATGCTCAATGCAGGAGCTGCTCCAGCCCGCAGGCCCCAGGCCAGCTAAGGCAGGTGCGCCGCCCCCTCATCACCCTGCTGGTCGCCCCAACAAAGGGAGGCAACCAACAGTGCCAGTGGTGGGGGGCAGGGCTGGTTGGTGAGTGGGCTGGCGTTGCATCCCCTTTCTCCCCCCCACCCCTTTGGCCCTGCTGGGGTGACCAGCGGCAGCAGCAGGGGACAGGGCCAGTGAGCAGGTGGCGCCAGGCTGGCCAAGGCAGGTGCAGTGGGGCCCCCCCCAATGACCCTGCTGATTGCCCTACAGATTGGCCCTGATTGCCGGCCACGCCTAGGGACCCTACCCATGCATGAATTTCGTGCATTGGGCTTCTAGTTATACATATAAAACAGCTTGATAGTTGAAAATGAAGAGTTTGGTTCCTTACTCTCTCCCCCCCTCAACACCCCCCAATTTAGCATGTATAATAGGAGAAAGAGAACCATTGAAAGTTTTTTTTGGCACAATTACATGAAAAATAATACTGACAGATTTCTCTTGGAGTACGTATATGCATGGACTTTGGAGATAACTAGCAGGGAGGAGTGGTGAGAAATCATTATCTAGGAGGCCAGCTAGGAAGCTTTTGGAATGAGGAGGTAATGAGAGCCTGACATTTCTTAACCAGATTTTCATAACCAGATTTCTCAGAATCTTTCATGCTCTTTTAAAATTTACTACCATCTGTTCTTTTATACAAGTGGGCTTCTGTTATCCCTGTTTCACTAAGAGGTTTCCTTCTAAAGTTACTGATCTGGCCATATATAATGATAATTTTTTGTGTCCTCAACACTTATTGGAGAACCACTTCAGGGACTAGCCTAAGCACCAACAATGGAGGCACTTTTTTACTTCCCTGCCGAAAATATATGAAATTTAATGAACTACAAACAAAACAGAAGCCCAAGTTTTTCAGTCTGAATTTAAAGGAGATTTTGTAGTGAACTTCAGATCTACGCTAGCAGAACTGATGAAAATAAGCACAACAATGGAATAATTCTTTCTCATAATGTCTTTGATAATTAGGGATCATCTTTCCAGCCTGTGTAGATCTTAACTTCAAGTTTTAGCTGAACTTTTTCTTTATCTCTACCGCTTAAGGCTTCAGTCATTGTTGTCCCCTCTCTTTTCTGAACCATTGCAGCACAAAGAGCTCAGCTTTGTACTTTTTTAAAAACTGTTTTAGTCCTAGCTGGTTTGGCTCAGTGGATAAGGCCTCGGCCTGTGGACTGAAGAAGGGTCCTGTATTCAGTTCCAGTCAAGGGCACATGTCTGGGTTGTGGGCTCGGTCCCCAGTGTGTGGCATGCAGGAGGCAGCCAGCTGATCAATGACTCTCTCTCATCAATGATGTTTCTCTCTCCCTCTCCCTTCCTCTCTGAAATGAATAAAAATATATTTAAAAAAATTTTTTTTTAGTTTTTTTTTTAAATCTTTTTTTTTTTATCTTCCTGATTGGCCTATATGTTCTCAGAGGGTAGGAATTTTATACTTTGCGTGTGTGTGTGCGTGCGCGTGCGTGCGCGCATAAAATCTTACTGTAGCATAGCCCTGTACATATCCTATATAATAAAAACCTAATATGCTAAGTTTTCGGTCGTCCAGTTGTCTGTTCAATCAAAGCGTAATATGCTGATAATATTCTAAGGATGCTCAACTGCTCTCTGTGATGCGCAAACAGTTGACTGGTCAACCAATTGCTATGATATGCACTGACCACCAGGGAGCAGTCGATTGGTTGACCAGTTGCTGTGACATGCACTGATCACCAGGGGCAGACACTTTAACTGATAGGTTAGCTTGCTGCTGGAGTCTGGCTGATTGGGACTGAGTGAGACGGGCCAGATACGCCCTGGAGCCATCTTGTGGTCCCTACCTAGTTGGCCAACCTCTTGCATCCCGCCTTGGCCCCAAATCATTCACTGCGCCCTCTGCAAATCTGAGACTCCTTTTAAGAGGATGTCAGAGAGCTGATTTTGGCCTGATCCTGCAGGCCAGGTCGAGGGACCCCACTGGTGCACGAATTTGTGCACCAGGCCTCCAGTGTAATTATAAATTCTTGTTAAATGTTATAACACAGATTAAGTATCTACTTACTGTATGTCTTTTTATATTACTTGGACTCATAAAGTCTCAATTAGTGATACTGTTGGAAGGAAAGAAGTTAAAGATGGTTCTCAATAGAGAACATCTGCAATATCAATTATATTCCAATTTGTAATGTACTTTTATATTAACTTTGAAAATATATGTGACTGATGCTTTGGGAATTTGAACAAGATAAAGCTACTCAGTGGAGATTTAATTGAGACAAATAGGGTGACAGTGTGTATAATAATAGTCAATGTTTATAGAATGAAATGTGAAGAATAATAGCAGTAACTACTATCATCAACATCACCAGTAGCTAACATTTATTGAATACTTACTTTTTGCCAGTGACTGTTTTGAGTACTTTATATCAATAAAGTTGTTATTCTTAGTTTACAAATGAGACATCGTAGAAAAACTACAGGATTAGTCATTAGAGGATCTGGGCTCTGGTTTTAATTCTGTTAACTACCATGTGAAGTTGGATAAGTCTTTTAACTTCAGCAGACCTTGGTTTTTCATTTTTAGATTGAAGGAATTAGTCTCTTAATTTCTAGGGTACTTTGCTACTCTCTTGACATTCTGTGATCTTTAAATTTTCTTGTCCCTTTGTTCCACAAGTTCTTTTATTATATGTGAGGAGCAAGCATTTCTCGCTGAGATTAGAGAGCAGGTTGGTAAGTGTTTTTTTTTTTTTTTTTTTTTTTTTTTAAGCTGAAGGTGCTGTATAGAGGAATTTAAAGTTCAGGTTCCAGAGACACGCATATAATATAAATAAAGGCAACTTGAGAAAATGAGAAAGGTAAAACTGTGGATCTAAATATTTGAAAAACAATCCTATATAATAAAAGGCTAATATGCAAATAGACTGGACATTGGAACGACCAGTTGCTATGTTGCACACTGACCACCAGGGGGCAGATGCTTAATGCATGAGTTGTCCCCAGCTGGCAGGCCCAATCGCCTGATTCGGGCCTGCTGGCCAACCTCTTGATCTCCTGCCCCCAACCTCCCTTCTGGATAGCAGCCTCCAATTGCCTGATGGGGAATGGGGAATGGGGAACTGGGGTGGGTGGCAGGGGATGCTGGTGGTGCCAGGCCAAGGTGGGTGCAAGCAGGCCTGGATTGCCCCGTCGGTTGCCCCACACATTTTGGTGGCAGGGGTGGGGCTGACTGCTGGCAACTGGGGAAGATTAGCCCTGATCACAGGCCATGCCTAGGGACCCTACCTGTGCATGAATTCTGTGTGCAGGGCTTCTAGTATCTAATGGGACTCCACTGGCAATACAGTTATACTCCTCATGGTTTTCTATTTATAATAGCTAGTACTTAATCCTGGTTACTTTATAGGGTATTATTACCCTCTCAAGATACTCCAGTAATAACTAACACTTACTGAATATTTCTTCTGTGCATATGTTACCATGTTTTATTCTCAAAATAATATTTTAACTGTAGGTATTATTTTTTCATTTTATAGATGAGAAAGTTGGAGTTTAGGAATATTAACGTGTTCATGACCCCACAGCAAGTAACTGGTAGAATCAGTACTTGAACTCTAGTCTGCCTGGTTCAAGAGCCTGTATTCTTTATCAGTTCTGCATGCTTCCCAGAAGTTCAGATCCTAAGTGATTACCCTGTTGCTTTTTATCTGCAGTCATTTGGGATGGACTTAGCCACACATTTTTCTTTTCAATGAGATACTTTAAGTTTCTTATTTTGTTCTCTTTTCCCCAATATTTTGATATAATTTAGAAGCTTTTCATTCTTCTTTACTTTATTGTCAGGGTCGCTATTGCTTTTTTGATCCCAGGATAGAAAGGTTGGTACTTCTGCTGAAAATTAGCAATTCCATTGTGAAGTGTCATGCTTCTCCCCCCCCCCCCCCCCCTACTTTTAATTTTAAGAAGAGCTTCATCCTTCAGAATGTGCTAACCTGTCAGATTTTGTTTTTCCTTTTTTCTTTCTTTGGGTTATAGTGATCTAAAATTTTCAGCTTTGGAGTGAAATACATTACAGAATCCAGATCACTGGATGTTTAGATTGTCCTTGAGCTTTTAATGCTTCTTTTCTTGCTGTCCATTTATGTGATTTAATGTCTTATATCCAATGCTCCCAGATCTTCAAACTTGTTCCTTGATATGTTCACTTTAAAAGATAGTGCCCAGTCCTGTCTATACTCTTTTCCTGTTCATCAATATCCTTGAGTTTGCATTCTTCCTTACTTTCAATGCCCCCAGCTAATCTGTCTCTTTGATATTCCTGTCTACCCTCCTTTACGCTTCTTACCCTTTACCCGCTCAGCTCTACCGTATTTTCTCTGTGCAAATTTCTGTGCCTATTTCTTAGGTACTTTTCTGACCTCTTGCCACTACTTTGTATGTATTACTTTCTTAAAATTTGTGTAAAAGAAATACCAGATGTACAGTCTTAAGTTTTTAAAAGGCCCTTATTGTTAGTGAGTAATCAGAATCACTTTGTGTTTATGTATTGTGCTGTATCTTAAACATTTTAAAACCAAATTTGTTGTGTTTTGGAGAGGATAAAAAATAATAAAAAAGATTGGAAATGTTGATCTCTTAAATATTTGGTTTGGTTATTAACATATTCAATCTTTTCCCTCCAGATTTAACTCAGGCTTTCCCTCACTTTGGAACTCCTAGATTTGTGAATATTGGATATTTTGAGAAGCAGGGGTTCTTTCCTTGATACTGACTAAGGAGTCTATTTACCTTCAGGATGACATCTGAATTGGAGAGCAGCCTAACATCTATGGACTGGTTACCCCAGCTCACCATGAGAGCAGCCATTCAAAAATCTGATGCTACACAAAATGCACATGGAACAGGAATTTCCAAGAAGAATGCACTCCTGGACCCCAATACAACTCTGGACCAGGAAGAAGTCCAACAGCACAAAGATGGGAAACCGCCATACAGTTACGCCAGCCTCATTACATTTGCAATTAATAGTTCACCCAAAAAGAAAATGACACTAAGTGAGATTTACCAGTGGATTTGTGATAACTTCCCATATTATAGAGAGGCTGGCAGTGGTTGGAAGGTAAGGATTTAAAAAAAATTTATATTTTTATGCTGTAAGCAATAACAGTATTGGATTCTCTTGAAGATAAAGCTCTGTGTAGGTGAAGATAAAATTCTAATTACTAGTAATTTTTAGGGTATCAAAGGAAATTAAGTGTTTTTAGTTAGTGAATAACTTTTTGGTAGAATATTGGTTTATTAGAGCTCTATTATATTATATGACTGACTTAGCATAAAATAAGAACAGAGATAATGTAGCATTCACTAGACAACAACACAGTTCAGGTAAGTTGACAGTCTAAGGTAAAATAAAAAAAATGTAGTATTGCAATTAGTACTGTTTTTATCATCCAAGATTTTTTAAAATCTTTATTTTGAAAGAATTTTAGATTTATGGAAGAGTTACATAATTATTGCAAAGGGTTTCCAGGTGTCCTTCACTCTCTATATTGACATCTTTTATAACCATAGTACAATGATCAAAACTAAGAAATTAATATTGGTACAATACTTTTGATTAAAGCAGTACTGTTAACTACTTAGTAAACAGTTTATTCACATTTCATTAGTTTTTCCACTAATGTCCTTTCATGTTCCAGAATCCCACATTGATGTAGTTGTTATGTCTCCTTAATTTCCTCCAATTTGTAACAGTTTCTCAATTTTTTCTTGTTTTTATGACCTTTGACATTTTTTGAAGAGTACTTATCAGGTACTTTGGACAATAATTCTCAGTTTGGAATTGTCTGATGTTTTCTCATACTGTAATTAGAGTGAGATAATGTATTTTGTGGCAGAATAATGCAAAGTTGATATATCCTTGTTTGTATATCATATTAAGAGTACTTGATGTCACCGTATCTTATTGCTGGTATTGTTAACCTTGGTTCTTTGGTTAATGTGGTATGTGCCAGGTTTCTCATCTATAAAGTTATTATACTATTTCTTACTTTATAAATTATAAGATGTTTTGGAGAAATATTTTGAGGGCATTCAAGTAGCCTTTTTTTTCTTCTTAGACCTTGCTCATTAATTGTAGCATTTATTGGTGGATCATATCTACAGCAGTTTTTGTTTTCTAGTGGTGACTTTTTTTTCTTCTTTATTCCTTATACACTTATTAATTGGGATTCTTCTGTAAGGAAGAGCTGCCTCTTCTTTCCTTTTTATTTACTTAGTCACTCATTTTTTTTTTTTAAAGGTCCAGATTACAAGGACAGAGATTTCCCATCTTTTTTAAATTTTTTTTTATTTTAATATATTTTATTGATTTTTCACAGAGAGGAAGAGAGAGGGATAGAGAGTTAGAAACATCGATGAGAGAGAATCATCGATCAGCTAGCTGCCTCTTGCACACCCCTAGGGGATGTGCCTGCAACCAAGGCACATGCCCTTGACCGGAATCGAACCCGGGACCTTTCAGTCCGCAGGCCGACGCTCTATCCACTGAGCCAAACCGGTCCCGGCATACTTAGTCACTCATTTGTAATATTATGCACTGATGGATATTTTATTTGTATCATCATTGCTCAAACTGTTACAGCTTTGGCCATTCGTAGTTCTTACAGGTTGGCATGACCCCCCTTTTATTGTTGGTTTAGCACTTTTTAACTTTCTGGCATCACAGGATGTTTTAGGCTCATACCTTCCCTGCTGCAGCCCTAGAATCAACGTTTTCTTTTTGAGAATCCCTATTTTCTTATCTAGGCTTTTTACGTCACATCAAATTAGTCACCTAATTTATATTTTACAAAAAAATAATTAAACTTTTGTATCTGTACATGCTATGTTTATATTCGTATATAGGAATTGCCCAGTTGTGTGCTTTGTGAGGCATGTGTATGCATGTGTGTGTGTGTATGTGGCAGAAGAGGTTTATAGAACTTTAAGTCTGCCATTAGATGGTAGTCTTGTTTCTCTTAAGCCTTCCTGTGTCAGCAGCTGTGTCTTTTTGTTTGACTATATTTGTTAAAGACATTAAAGATGTATTGTGCACCAGTGATGTACTCCACACCAGGTCAGAAAATCAGTTGCTTTAAGGGAAAGTATTTTAAAATATCTCCTATTTAATTTTATGCCCTCGTACAGTGCTTCCATTTAGTAAGCCTCAACACATGAGGTTTGAATGAATGCCTGAATTCTGGCCACAGACTTTTCCCCAGTCTTTATTTGCTGGTTCCCTCTTAATATATTCTTTCCCCCCTGCCTGTTATAGTTTTCTAGCTGTCCCTGGAAATAAACACTTCGATTTCTTTCTTTTGTTCTCTTACTTGTCTGTGGACTTTCTCTCTTTTGCCCCCTTTCCCGTTGGCATTGTTCTGTTTATTCTTTCAGCTCAGATGTTACCTCTCTTCTGCTATAGAATTATCTCTTGTATTTCAGCATGCTTTATTAATACCCTGTTTCCCCAAAAATAAGACAGTGTCTTAATTTTTTCTCCCAAAGTTGCACTAGGTCTTATTTTCAGAGGATGTCTTATTTTCGGGGAAACACGGTAATACTATTGTAGAACTTACAAATTTTGTTCAGAGATCTTGTTTAATTAGTTTTTGTTTCTGTACATATTCAATAATAGCTGCTTTTGTTACTTTTTGTGTGCCAGGTGCTGTATACTAAATTACCTTGTATCATTGCAGTAACTATTGTTATTGTCCAGATTTTAAAGGCTTAGAGAAGTAACTTTCCAGAGTTTCTTAGCTAGAAAATGGTGAGCCAAGATTTGATACCAGACTTGGTAGATTTGGAATTTCAAGTTAGCTAACCTTTTCCTCCCTCCCTTTCTTCCTCCCTCCCTCCCTAGTTGACACACAATATTATATTAGTTTAATGTGTACACATAATGGTTAGACATTCGTATACCTTATGAAGTGATAACACTGATAAAGTCTAGTACCTATCTGACATCATACATAGTTGTTGCAGTATTACTAACTTTATTTCTTATGTCAAAGCTCATGTCTTAACCATTACATAGGGCCTATAATTTTTCAAATAGTGCAGAAATACTTATTATTAATTTGATTTGCCAAACTTTTTTTTTTTTTAAAGGAAATATATTTTATTGATTTTTTTTTACAGAAGGAAGGGAGAGAGATAGAGAGCTTGAAACGTCGATGAGAGAGAAACATCGACCAGCTGCCTCTTGCACACCCCCTACCGGGGATGTGCCTGCAACCAAGGTACATGCCCTTGACCTTAATCGAACCCGGGACCTTTCAGTCCACAGACCGATGCTCTACCACTGAGCCAAACCGGTTTCGGTGATATTGCCAAACTCTTAATTGACTAACTCATTAAGTTTGTTAGCAATATACTTTGAATAAGTCCATTCTAACAGTATTTCAGTGGAGGAAATATATAATACAATTTGACCCATGAGTCAAAAAACATCATTCTAAGCAAGTAATAGTGATCTGTCTTAGCTGTCATTTTGGCTTTCCCACTAGGCACTAATGTTCAGTTACTTCTTTTGTCAAGATTTGGGATGAGGGAAGACTAAGAGATTTCTTTTTATTGTTTAAAGTATTACATATGTCTTCCTTTTTCCCAATTGACACCCCCCCCCCCCCCAGTCTTGCCCCCCCAGGACAAGCCCCACCACCACATTGGCTGTGTTGCTATGCATGCATATATGTCTTTTGGTTGTCCTCTTACCCCACCCCTCCTTCCCTGCCTTCTCTCTGAGGTTGGAAGGTCTGTTCAGTGTTTCTTTGTCTCTGGATCTATTTTTGTTCATCAGTTTTTGTTGTTCACTATATTCCACATATGAGTGAGATTATGTGATATTTACCTTTCTCTGACTGGCTTATTTCACTTAGCACAATGCTCTCCAGGTCCATCCATGCTGTTGCAAATGGTAGGAGTTCCTTTTTTATAGCAGCATAGTATTCCATTGTGTAGATGTACCACAGTTTTTTAATCCACTCATCTGCAGATGGGCACTTAGGCTGTATTATAAATCTTAGGTATTATAAATTGTGCTGCTATGAACATAGGGGTGCATGTATCCTTTTTGATTGGTGTTTTTAGTTTCTTGGGATATATTCCTAGAAGTGGGATCACTGGGTCAAGTGGGAATTCCTTTTTTAGTTTTAATGTAAGTAAAGTGTCAGTTTGAATTTAAATTTTCTGAGGTTTTATTGTTTTTCCCTCAATAATGCTGCCAAGATAAGAAAAAGGTAATGTCCTTTGAACTTTTTCGGGTGCTCAGCATAATCCAGCACAATGCAGGGAGTCCTGCAAATCTATATAGCTATTATTTAGATGCATTTCATTTTTATGAGCTAAGAGAATGTCATCCATATAATGAATAATATAAGCCTTGGGATATTTTTTCCTTATTGGATGTATGGCTGCAGCCACAAAATCCTGACAGTCTCTGCCAGCCTTTGCAGCTTCAGCTGGCTCTCGAAGCCCCTTGTAGCCTTGGCGGGCCCTCGCAGCTCCGGCTTCATCTGGATGGTTGTCCAGACAGTTGTTTTGCTATTTGGTCTAATCAGCATATTAGCTCTTTATTATATAGGATAATTTTAAATCCTCTGACCCATCCTTTGTGCTCCAGCATCATCCATTTTATTCTTAGATTTTGAAAACCCCATAATAAATTATGTTAATAGTTACCTTTTTAAGAAATACATAAATTTTATTGATTTTTGTTACAGAGAGGAAGGGTGAGAGAGAGAGAGAGAAACATCAGTGAGAAAAAAAAAACATCTATCAGCTGTCTCTTGCACTCCCCCCCATCCCCCCTTTTATTGGGAATGTGTACATACATGCCCTTGATCAGAATCGAACCTGTGACCTTGAGGTCCTCCATCAAGCTCCACCAGGTGGAGAACATGATCTGAAGTTCCCGTCAAGCCCCAATAGGCAGGGGTGGGGGAGCAAGCCTCAGGTGCCCCGTCAAGCCCCACTGGACAGGGGCGCAGCCTGAGTTCCCCTGACCCAGCACTGGGAGTGCACCTTGAGGTCCTCTGTCAAACCCATAGGAGCTCAGCCTCAGGTCCCCTGGCCCGGTGCTAGGGCATTGGGCACAGTCTGAGGTCTCCTCTCAAGTCCTGCTGAACAGGGGGTGCGGTCTGAGGTCCCCCAGCCTTCTACTGGGGTGGGGGGCTCAGCCTGAAGTTCCCTGTGAAGCCCCACCTGGTATGGGCGCGGCCTGAGGCCCCCTAGCCCAGCATCAGGATGGGAAATGTACCTTGATGTCCCCTGTCAAGCCCTGCCAGGTGGGGGGTGTGGCCTCCGGTTCCCTGGCCTGACACTGGGGTGAAGGGTGCGGCCTGAGGTCCCCTGTCAAGCCCCCTGGGGGCGGGTGAGGGCGTAGCCTCAGGTCCCTGCTGATTGCTCATTAAGGCTCCTTATGGAAATTTGGCCTCCGCTGTGGGTGCAGCCATCTTTATGATGGAGTGATGATCAATTAGCATATTCCCTCTTTATTAGATAGGATACTATTTATAAATGGACAAGCATCTTTTGTCCCAGATCATTTTTGTGGGGAGTTGAATCAATCAATACTTGCATTGGATATGGCTTTTGTCTATATCTTTGTCCTCAGTGTACTGCAGACTTTACATTTCTCTAGCAGTAGTCTCCTATTACCTTGGACTGGGAATGGAGGGCTTAGATGCTTGTAGGCTTTTCTTAGTTTCCTGCTTTTCTTTTTAGATTTCAGTTGTCTCTGAAATCTTGCTACAGGTGGGGATGAGAGACATGCTTCTACCTCTTCTCTATCAGATTGTTTCTGCTTATTACTCACTGGCAGGGCCGGGGGTTTTATCTGTTGTTTTAATTCAACTTAGTCTTACTTAGGCCCTTGACCTTGGGACTGTGGCTCTTTTCGTGTTTCTTTTCTTCAGCCAGACTAGCCTTGCATCTGTTATTGGTTTTGGGATAATTCCCTGTCCATTCTCAGCTAAGGTAATTCTGTCCCACTGTCCCAGAGGTAAAAGGAATTTGCATCTAGTCTTCTCCCATCAGCAGTAAATCTTTGCCTATGTCCTGGGAAGGGGTTTCCTGTCCCTCCCTACAGGCAGAAGTTTTTTTTCTTTCCCCCCCCATTCTTCCTTAGAAGCAGTCTTTGCCAGAGTCCTATGAGTGAGAGATTTTGCTGCCCCTACCTTAAGTTTTTGCTTTGTAATATCTATAGAAGGTCGTGCGGTTTTGTCTCCTGCTTTGTGCTTGTCAGTTTCCTCTTTGCTGCTTATGCAATAAAGGAGACTTTCTTTGGTCTCTTCCTAACCACCCCCCACTCTGCAGTCTTTCTTGTGAGCAGGGCTCATGGAGAAGAGCTTGAAAGTGATTGGGAACTTCTCTTGTGTCTGGGAACATTATTGCTCCAAACCAGGGGTGAGGAACCTCTAGCCTGCAGGTCTTATATTAGGCCTTCGAAGTCATTTGGTCTAGTCCTGCCGAGGCAACCAGAGGCAGGACTCAAAATTCAGTAAGACTGGAAGTTTTTTTTCATAGCAACATAAATTTATACTAAATAAATTTATTAAGTGAGTGATGCTATAAATATTCAAATGGCCCTTGGCAGAAAAAAGGTTCCCCAGCCCTGCTCTAAACTGACAGATTAGCCCATGCTTGGCCTTTCAAATTTTAGCTAATTTCTTGGATGGTGGTCACTTCTTTCCCCCAGGCTCTGCCAAAAGGTGCGACAGTTTGTCCCCTTTCTCACTGAATGGGCTTACCTTTCCAGGAATTTCATTTTTGGGGCTGCTTTGCAACCTCAGCTCTCTAAGGCTGTTCAAATATGTGTGATTTGGGGAGGGAGTGGGCTAACCCATTGTATTCTCACTGTTTGGGAGAGATCATCATTCTTGGTAGCTAGCTACTTCCCAAGCAGAAGGGGACTCCCATTCAAAGTTTTAAATTGATGTTTTGGTAATAAGATAGGCTTGATTTATATTCATCTTTTAAAATCTTCATTAATATCAATATAGTTACATGAGAGGGAACTTTTAATATAGGCATTATTGTTAGAGTTTTGAATTTTGTATTAAATAATAAAATAAACATTATGCCAAAACGACCTCCCAAAATTCTAAGTCATGGTTAAGTGTAGTTGGACCCCTTCTCCACCTGGCCATTTTGGAATAAACAATTATGAATGGATCTTGGAGAATTTCATTAAGAAGAAATGTGCTTTAGATGTTTTCTTTAAAAATTGTCATAATCCTACTTATTAGTGAAAGATTTCTTCTTTCAGATTTTTTTCCAGTTGCATTTTCCTGCCATCTAAGGTGGTTATTTTTTGTTTGTTTTTGTGTTGATTTCAGAGAGGAAGCGAGAGGGAGAGAGAGATAGAAAACACCAGTGATGAGATAGAATCATCCATTGGCTGCCTCCTGCACCAACCCCACTGGGGGGGGTCAAGCCCGCAACCCGGGCATGTGCCCTTGACTAGAATCGAGCCTGGGACCTTTTAGTCCTCAGGCTCAATGCCTATACATTGAGAAACCTAGATATTCTTGCTAGCCCTTTGTAGTCAGCATCTTCTTTCTGTTTTTCTTTCTTAGAGATTGCAGTGAGAACTTGATTGGTGCCTATATGCTCTTGTAATGGAGCAGTGGAATTATTTGTTTCAAATTTTTAACATTAAAAAGTGATAGATAATACATGTGCTTTATAGATCATTTTAACTGCCGAAAAGATGAAAATAATCATTACATATAATTCTGTGTAAAAAAGCTACTCATAATTTGCATTTTGACTTGTTTCCAAGAATGAATTAATCACAAAGTCATAATACATATATAATTTTATATTTAGCATTTAATATTTAATATTAATCATAGGCATCTCTCTGCATCATTAAAATTTCTTAATAAACATTTAAAATGGGACATATAGTCCATTATTTAGAATTTTGTAACATTCACCAGAAACTTTCAATAACTGCTTTCCTTTGTAGAATTCATAATTTGAAAATCAAAAAGGTTTAAACTTGAAGCTCATTTAAAAAGTTTACTCTCTTTGGAATTGTATTTCAGTGCATAGAAATATTTAGATTTCTGATTCTTTTTTTAAAGGGGATTTCACTTTTTGGATTCCAGTGACTGTATGGTTTTTCTTCTTTAATTTTAGAATTCCATACGACATAATCTGTCGCTGAACAAGTGTTTCCTTAAAGTGCCTCGATCCAAGGATGACCCTGGAAAGGTAGGATTTGTTTTCTTAAAATAATTGGATTCTTTATTTTATCTATTGTCATGTGTATACCTAAGATATATCTGTTATATAAAGAAAAATAATTGGGATGAAAGCATTCAGTTCATTGATCAGAACTATTTGTTAAAATAGCAAGTCCTCCTTTAGCCCACTCCAACTTACCCTCCCTTACCCTGCCCCACCTTATCCCCATTTTAATTGGTATGCTTTAAGGACCAGCCAGGTGGGGAGAGCTTTCTTTTTAAACAGTGGAAAACTAGCTAGTATAGAACTGGTTCTCTGTTATAGTTTGCTATTTCTAATCTAGTTTTTGTTTTTTATTTTCTTAAGTGTATGTATTAAATTTTGTTTTTGACTTGTTATGAACCACACTTTATTACATACAAGAGGTGGATTTGTGTGTAATTGACAACTGGAAGTAATTTTTACCCTGAAATAAAATTGTTTTTCTGTTATTTCCTTTTTTTTCTTAGTTGCTGTTTTCCCCCCCTCTTTATTCCATTTATCTCCTACCACCATTATTACATTTTTAGTATTTTATCTACACAGACTTGTTTGTTTCAATAGCCATGTCAACTGCATTGCTGTTTGAACTTGTTACTAGTTGCTTGATTTCTAAGCTCAGAGTATTTGCTTGGACCATATTTGGTTGTCAGGATAAATTATTAAATTAGGACAGTGTATCTGTTAGCAAGCATGAATTCTTGTTTGAATCTTTGCACTTCTTGTCTTCCTTAGGCTAAGTGTCTCTGAAAAAAAATTTCTGAAATGAAAACCTGGTCATATTTTCACTCTGCTTAAAAGTACTCCTCAGTGTTCTGTAGATGTTTCTTTTATAAAACATCCTTTACTATGTTTTTCTTGATCAGCCTTTCTAGCTATGCTTCACCCCGTACAAGACCCATTGTAAGGGATTACTTGGTTTCCCAAACATGGTTTTCAAATGGTCTTCTCTCTCTCTCTCTCTCTCTCTCTCTCTCGATATATTTTTTATTGATTTCAGAGAGGAAGGGAGAAGGAGATATAGATAGAAACATCAGTGATGCGAGAGAATCATTGATCGGTTTCCTCCTGCATGCCCCTTACTGGAGATCGAGCCCAAACCCGAGCATGTGCCCTTGACTGGAATCAAATTTGGGATTCTCCAGTCCATAGGCCAATGCTCTATCCACTGTGCCAAACTATCTAGGGCCATCCAGTGGTCTTCTCTTAATGCGCAAGTCCCCTTTGTCTACTTTTCAGGCTTCTTGTCTTTTAAGATTGAATTTCAGCATTACTTCTCTGAGGCTAACCTCCCCCCACAACTCCCCCCCCCATACAAGCGCGCCCCCCAAATGAGTTTATTGTTTCCTCTTTTGAGTTCCTGTTACTTTGTCATCATTGTAGCAATTCCTAACTGGTCTTTCTATCCATGGACTTACTTATTTCTGATTTATAGCAACTTTCACATAGTAGCCAGCGATCTTTATGGAAAAAAGTTAACATAATCTTGTGTACTCTTTGTTTAAAATCTTAATTGGTCATCTATTGTCCTTAGGTTAAAGTCTAAATTATGAGGGTAGGGATCATCTCTCTCTCTCTCTCTCTATATATATATATATATATACACACACACACACACACACACACACACACACACACACGTGTGTGTGTGTGTGTGTGTGTGTGTGTGTGTGTGTGTGTGTGTATGCCTAATCGCTATGACGTGCACTGATCACCAGGGGGCATACGCTCCAACCTGTAGGTTAGCTAACGCTGGGGTCCGGCTGATCAGGACTGGGCGAGATGGGCCAGATACGCCCTGGAGCCTTCCTTGGCCTGGCCCGTGCCCTCTCGCACTCTGGGACCCCTCAGGGGATGTTGAAGAGCTGTCCCATAGGACAGGCTGAGGAACCCCACCAGTTCACAAATCCGTGCACCAGGCCTCTCAAGTATGTATATATAATAGTTTACTTGTTAGCCCCAGTTACTTGTGCAGTGGCTGGTGGCACTGAAGAGACACTCTTGTTGAATGAATGAATATATTGTATCCTTTGCTAGATGGCTAATTTCTTAAGGTTAGAGATGGAGAGTTATTAATTTTTATTGTAAAGCAGGCATTCTTAAAAAACTAATTTTTTATAGTACCTACTATGATTTGCTTATTAAGTTGGTTCTTAATAAGATTGAATAGGTTATTATAATAGTTTTCTTATTTGACCTAATTATTTGCCTGTGTTCATACCTCTCTAGGGTTGAGTCTAGGAATTTCCTTTAAAGCAGGCTTATCATAAAAAAGGAATTACAAATTTTATGTTTACTTCATTGCAGTTTTCTATGGGCAGTGAGTATATATGACTCTGACTGAAAGGGTTCTTAAGAGTTTAGGAATTAATCTATTTTATTAGAGTTCTATAAAGCAACTAATTAGATTCTGTAACCATGTGGCTTAGACTTAATTTTTAAATGAGGTTTAAGTCATTTAAAAAACCCACACATGAAAACTATATTATGTGCTAAATATATTTAAAAAATATTTATTATTATTATTATTTTTTTTTTTGAGAGGAAGGGAGGGTGAGAAAGAAACATCAATGTGAGCAAAACATCAATGGGCTGCCTCCTGCACACCCCCTACTGGAGATTGAGCCGGCAACTTAGGCATGTGCCCTGATTGGTAGTTGAACCTGCAACTTTTGGTGTATGGGACAATGCCCGAAAAACTGAGCCACTCCAGCCAGGGCTATTTATTGTTAACAGTATTACAGATAGATGTTCTCCATTTCCTGCTTTTTTATCCTCTTCCACCAGCTTCTGCTCCACCCCAGGCCTTCTCCACACTATTATCTGTGTCCGTGGGTTATGCATATATGCATGTATGTACTTTGGTTAACTCTGTCTCCTCCATTATGTACTAAATTTCAGTCAATTGGAGATTTGTTTAAAAAAACAAACAAACCTGCTGTCAGGTTCTCTTTTGTGCAGAACTTAAAGCTTTTCTCCACCTTAGTCAACTAATATCTCATGGGGTTAAGGGAGATGTAGAAAGACATATATTACTCTATACAACTATTCTTTTTGAATCAAGATCATCTTACTGATGTGCAACCAAAATAAAATAAAGAAGTAAATTGAATCCTGAGAAGTAAATAAAAGGTTTCAATTTTTATCATTATTCTCTAGTATTAAACTTTAAAAAAAAATATTTTATTGATTTTTTACAGAGAGGAAAGGAGAGGGATAGAGAGTTAGAAACATCGATGAGAGAGAATCTTGCACACCTCCTACTGGGGATATGCCTTCAACCCAGGTACATGCCCTTGACTGGAATCGAACTTGGGATCTTTCAGTCCGCAGGCTGACGCCCTATCCACTGAGCCAAAAACGGTTTCGGCTAAACTTGTTTTTATCAAAAAACATTTTTCTTATTGGTTTTGGTCATAATTGTAAATATAGTATATTTGATCTTATAAAGTACATTTTAACTAAAAGTAATTTTTATTTTCACTCTCAAGGTGAGATTTAAATACCATTGTCCTATTTGATTTTGATCAGAAATAAATGTTATAATCTGATCTTATACATTAATTTAAAAACATTTTAATTTTTGATATAAAAATAAAATTTTATTAAAAAACACTTCCATTGCTTATAAAAAGTTTTGAAAAACCTCAGATCTGGCCCATTTTAAATAAAGCAAATAAATTAGGAATAACCCAGGTTCAGTGTAGAAATAGAACACAAGTGTATTGGCCAGACTTACTTGCAAGTCACAGAAGCCCATTACAGACCAACTTAAGGGAGAAAATACCTACAGTAAGAACTGGAGCCTGGTTCTTAAATTTTCTCACCAGGCATGTCTCTTCACATTCCTTAGCTTTACTGATACCTGCATTTCAGCCCATTTAGTAGCAGAGATGACCATCAGCAGCTTCTGGCTTATATTCTGCACCTGGAGTAATCAAATGTCTTAGAATGAATGCTGAACAAGCAGAATACATTTGGTTTCTTGGTTCCTAGACTAGTGCTTTTTCCACTGTGCCAATCTTCCTTGAGAGGGAGGCCAAAATGTTAGTTAAGTTTGGGTACTTATGAATTGTTTTTTCTTTTTGTATTACAGTGTTTCCTGGCATTTGAGGAGCTTTTCCAAAACCACCCTCACCACAGTGGGAGAAAACCATTGAGCCAAGGTGGGGTGGGAGTAGTTTTGATTTTTGGGTATGGGGTGGACTTTTACCCCTTAGGCTTTTGCTAGCTGCTACTATGACCCAGATGGGTCCAAGAGAGAGAGGCAGAAGTAGCTTATACAGCATCTTCTTTCTCATCTTTATTATGGTATAGCTTTCTGTTTCAAGTATTACCAGAGAGGTATGAAGGCCAGCCTAAGTTTGAAGAATATTGTTGAATTACACATATTTTTATATGGCCATTCATTTTGGACTCAATCCTTCATTTCCTAGAAGCTGTTGTCATAAAAGCTTTGAAATCCATTTTCCTCTGTTCCCTGAAACTAATTACAAACAGCCACATTATTTTCTTTAAAAAGAAACACAAACAAAATGAAATTATATTTTGCATTTATAATTGCTGCTTTTTGGCAGACAGATTTCTATTTTCTCTTTCCTTGAGTCCAACCTTATTTCTTCATACTGTAGTCTGTCCATTTCCTTATTCCTGTCTTTTCTCTCCTCTTTTCTCATTAGTTTTACTTTCTGTATTTTTGTCTTTTTTAACATAGTATGCTTTTTATGCAATTCACATAACCTTAAAGAAAGGTAAATATTTAACCTTAAAGAAAGGTAACCTTAAAGAAAGGTAAATATTTTGCTCAGTTTATGGAAAAACAAATACTATCAGCTAAATTTAGTTTAAAAATATAGAGTTCTCTTTCTTTTCTTTCCACTGAATCTTTTCTTAATCTTGTCCTCTCTTACCTCATAAAAATGATACTCTGACTTTAAGGAAATAAAGGGTTGTAGGAAATGGTTTCAATAATTAATTAGCAACAATGG